TTCCTACTTCCAGCCATTGAGATTCCAGGAAAGAGAAAACCAAGGGATTTTAAAATACCCTATATTATAGCCTATTTTTTTAATATATAAGGGTAGAGTCATCCATAATTTTGACAGGAGCACATTTCTCTTCCCATTAGCTATTAGATTATAAGATGTTATTATTTATTTGATTATTATGAGTACATGACGTAAGGTATCTGCTAAAACATTAGCATTTTTTACTGTTTTTTTTTAATGTGTGTGTTTTCATATGAACACATACAGTAACTGGATTAATGGTTTCTTGGGGGCAAAGCCAGGAAGGTTGGGGGCGAAATGAGTTAATAAGAATGAGTACAAGACAGAAGAAAACATCCTAAAATGGACTGTAGTGATGACTGTACAACTCTTCCTAATATGATTGAACTATTGAAGTGTATGACATATGAATTATATGCCCAAAAGTTATTTAAAGAATTTAATCACCTTTACTTCTTTTCATCAGGATGTAATTTCTAATTGATAGAATTTCGAATAAATCAATGACATATTCTAATGTGAATAAATTCTACGTTGGGGAATATACTATCTCAAGAGAAACAGTGATACCAACAGCGGGGAAATAAGTCATTGATGATGTGGGAGGTGCTCTAATTACAAGGCTTTTATTTTTAGAGGTACGTAATATTAAACATCCAACAAAACTTAAACTGGTCGTGCTTCTCGGTTCCCCAAACATAAACATTCTTTTTGAGTGTGCGGGCCTAAATGCACATTCAACTCCAAAAATGAACTCAGGCATGCAACTCTGCAGAACATCAGTGGAGGGGGGAAAGCACACGGTGACACCTTGTGAAGATAGCAAAGAAGTATTGTGCGCCTTCAAAAGCAAAGTCAGGGCTAATTCTCTATCAGGATGAGTACTGCCGTCCCTTAACCTTTCAAAAAGAGATAAACGGTTTAAAAAGCATCTCAGAAATTATACTACACTTCTTTGGCAATCTTTCCCTTGTAAAAAGTCTAGTTCCATGACGGTGGTTGTCAGTATTTAACGGTTAACTTTTGGAAGAATAGCAATCCCAGTATATTGGTTCAACCAAAATTTCAATATTCAATTGCAGATACTAAATCTACAAC